GTGGCCTGGGGCAGCGCAGTTCTGGTACCGTACCGGTTTGGGATAAGGCTATTATCAAAGTATAGTACCTAGGTAGCTGGTGAGAGAAGAGTGATTTTGATTTAGGGGCAGTTATATCCTTGATTGGATTGGTTCTATTCAAATTCATTCAGCTTATTGAATCCATTGAATTAAGTTCCTTGCAATAACAATACAAATTGACAATACATTGTAAAACTAAGACTGACCTGGGTCCACCCTTTCTGTTAACGAGTATCTATCTATGTACTTTGTACATGATTAAAGATCACACCTCATTACACTCTGAATTCAAATAAAGACTTGAATGGATTTACCTATTCTTTAGACTTGCGTATCTATGTTTCTCATCATCCTAATAACTCTGCATTGAGACTAATAGTACCCGGGGAATCTTCCAGGCCTCCAAGGGAATCAACCCAACATGGAAAAGCAAAGTTAAAGCAGAAAGAACAATCAAGGAAAGGACAGAACAGCCCCATCTAAGTCCCAGGGGATTGGTGACGGATCGATAAGAATAGATGCCACCGCCATGACCGATAACAAGCTCCCAAACTCCAAAACCCCATGCTCAAGATCAAGAACACACGTAAGATGCACGTTCAGAACGTTCTCTCACGCATTCGGTGCCGCAAGAAGGGACCGCTTCACGGGTGGGGGTGGAGGAGGCTTCTTCGCACGAGATGGTGGAGGTGGAGGAGGAGCCTTCTTCAATCCCATAGTGTTCAAGTTGGTTGCGCTGGGTCTCCGGGATGGCACGCTGCCGTGAGATGTTGCTGGGGATATAGACCTGCCCCCGCCAAACATCCGCTCGGGGCTAGAACGACCATATGAGCTGACCTCTTCAGAGTCGGCGTAAGGATCAGCGGAGAGTCGACCACTTCCAACTTGGGCGCTGCTTCGACGTCCAAACCCGCCCAGATTCTCGCTGGTAGTCCGCTGCTGGATCCACTGTGATGCAACTGGCGATTGCTCTTGTCGTAGTTGAGCTGGGCCTTCAAAGGTGGGAACTCTGCTGAGAACGGGACGTGTAACCCCACCGGTATTTCCATAGGTCTCTCGCGGAGGTGACTCGGCGTATGGCGCCATAGATCTGTTTGATCGGATGGGAGGGCGAGTGTCGGCGGCATTCATCAACTCTTCCTGCAATGGCTCGTAACGTTCCTGGAACGAGTGGGCGGTGTTGGCACGAGGACGGGTCGGACGACGTGGAGGGGCCTGTACTTGGCTGTACCTATTTCAGTGTTAATATCACCACACGAGATGCGGCCAGGATCGATGCTTACCCTGCCCATTCATTCTTGAGCTGCACAAGGGCCTCACGGGACCGTTCATGGTATTCAAGTTGGGCGTCCAAAAATGCCCCCATGTCCATAACATTGTCGGTTTCGGCTTCTTTGATGTCCTGCATACGACGCAGCACGTCGTCGCTGGCTTCCTCGTACTTCACTTTCTGAGAGCGTAGTTCTTCCTCTACGCGGAAGTCCTCCTTCTTAGCCTTCTCCATCTTAGAGAGCGAAGTGTCGTATGCCAGCCGTCGGCTGTCGAGCTTCTTCCGAGCTTGCTATGAGGCAGGTTAATACATGACCTTCAACCTTCAGCTGATCGCGCGGAGTGGCATACCTGCAACTCTTTCATCTGAGTCAGGGATCTCTCCAGGGACTCAAGCCAGCTTGAAGTCGCCTGCGCGATGTAACTTTCTTGAATGCGCGCAATGCGCTCCTCGGTGCGACCAAATGCTGATCGAATTGTTAGCAATGCGATTCCTACCCCGCCTTCCTAATATGATGCTCGGGACTTACTGATCAGACACTGTCCGTATTCCGAGTTCCCATCGAAGTCTTCGCCGTGGGCCACCATGCTACTTCCCAAATGGCCAATCGGGAGGGTCTTCTCTTTGTCGTCTCCCTCATTACGCTTCGAGATAGCTTTGACATAAGAGGTCATGGATTTATGAATGCGGTCAACGCCTGGAGAGAGTGCATGGGTCAGTATGGATAAACTGCAGGTGCGCAAAGTGGTCACATCTTACCTTCATGTCGCACGCCCATCTCCGTCTCCATTGCCTTGAAATCATCAGAGAGACAGGTCTTGGCCTCTCCGCCCATGCGTTCTCCAGCCCATTGTTTGAATCGGCCAATTCTCTTGTTCACGTGCATGTTGTGAGGTTGGGATGCTAATGGTATGTGGAAGGATAATCGAAACCAGCGATTGTGTAGAGTTGGAAGATGAATTAAAAGGGAATGTTCAACTAGAATACTCTAGGATAAGAGAAAAGAGAAAAGACTGGGGGGAAGGGGGGAGGGAAAGGAGGTTGGGAACGGTTAGATTAAATCATGGGGGGGGGCACGCAATTATGATAAAATAGGTAAAATAGGTAAAATAGGGAACTCAGGGTAAATACAACATGGGCTAGGCATCTCACAAAGTTACAAACAAGAAAATACAATGCGTTTTATGCATGCAGTGTCGCCGATCTTGGTCAATCAGTGGGGAAGCCATTGTATTCTCAATTGTGTATTATTACCAGTCAGAAAAAGAAAAGTGAAAAAAAATATATATTAAAATATTAAAATACTACAAATTAATGTACTTCGTATACCGAGTATGTATAGCACAACAGTAGGCTCTTAATGGAATTGACTAAAATAGCCTGAGACCAGGAACACCCCAGGCGGTTAAAGCTGTGACACGCGTTAGTGGGACCTGGTGGGGAGCCACTAAATCCCATTGGAAGCTTCAATTAAATTCGGTTGATCAGTACTATAATTATCTTCTTGCCACCCTGGTCCAGTCTAGAATACATATGTACATAAATTTATGAGTTCATATCAATCATGCATTATCCTTTCTACCATACAAATAATACACAAAATAACGTGTTCGTAATCGCTTAGAAAAATGGGGTTTCAGATGTGTTTCAGTTGATCCGTGGCCACTCCAGACTCTAGACTCTTGGCCATTTACATACGAGTACGGTGTAGATTAAGATCCAAGACCAGTGGGTTGCATCGCCGCAATGCCAATGCCAATCAAATCTAAAGCGGTACAAACCCCTGTAATTCCCATTTCAATTCATATGAGACTGTATTATTATTGGTAGAAAATATATATACTTGTTCTCTTTGTACGGAGTAGTCCAAAAAAATATGGAGTATCCATATCGTAAATCATGTGCTCCCATCAATAACATCACCCCAAAATCATTCGAGGGTCTATAGATAAGCCAGGCACCCACGTTTGTTCCGATTCAGAAGCCAATTCAGAAGCCAGCAGCGCATCGAACTCATTCCAGCCACTCATAAAGGGAATTTCACCCCCCGCCGCCGACAGACCACCCCCTTTCTCGCCATTCAAATCTAGATCCAAGATCTGACCACCCCTATCCCCAGAGGCTGAGCGCAATGTTTCAACTCCAGAAACCCCATCGGATAGCGATGATTCCGGCGAGTGCAGGTTGCTCTGCATGAGACTCTCTGCATATTGACCGGGCGTAACGCCCACATGTTTCTTAAACACACGGTGAAAATGACTGGGTGTCAAGCCAGCTTCCGCCGCCAGATCTCTTAGTTTTGGTTTCAGCCCTGTCGTCAGAATGTTCCTAATTGACTCGCAGGCTTTGTCAATCGTGGCGGTTTGAGGGTTGCTTTGAGCCGCCGTCTGACCTGAATGCGGCCGACAGCGCTTGCAGGATCGGAAGCCTGCTTTTTCTGCTTGCAGAGGGGTGTCGTAAAATTGAACATTGGCACGGCGGGCTAGTCGTGCTGGACATGAGGGACGGCAGTAGATTTTTGTGGTAAGAACGGCGTAGACGAAGCTGTTGGCTGTTACGTCGCGGGTGGCGATGGCTTGCCACCGTTCTGTGTTGGTGAAGTTCCGGCTGAGTCGGGGGATCTCTTGAGGCTTAGATGAGTCTGTCATATTCATGGGGTGTCCGAATTGTAGATATCTTCAAAGTATTACATTCATTCATTGTGGCATCGAACTCCAGGTAGAGGGGAGCTTCGGCAAATCTGACGGTTGATCCCAAACTGACCAATCAGCATCCAGGCTGGCTCCCCAATGCCTCAGATGAAGTATGTTGTACATCAGAGTCATCACCTACATGTACAGTATCTACATGCAGGATTAAATAATTTCTTTCGTATACTTAAATTTATCGCTAGGTTTCATACGTCTTTCAAGGTTATATTACTTATCTAATTTCTTTTCGGTACCTCCCAATGTTGATCTATATATATATAGTACAACCCTAGCCTCATCATACATCCACCCCCAGCAAGTGAGATAACCATAGATTTATAAGAATATTCATTTATTCGTAAGCTAGTAAGCTAAAATATCCCCAGGAGAGTACGATATACTGAAGGCATTGAGAGCCTGTTTTCCTTCTGGGAGCTCGAGCTCTTCATTAAGAGAGTAGACATTCCGTATAAACTGCAAACAATGCAAACATATTGGGACCTGGCAAGCATCAGACTATCACCGGGTAAACTCAACTGCTTATGAAGAAAATCGAGAAGTTAATATTGTCGACCAGAGAAGCCTATATCAATATCGCACATATACCCATCTTAGACATGGTGATCCTACAGTCTGCGCGGCCCGTTTCCTGCATTTTCCAACAATTTCTCATTATCTTCAACACCGTCCCACAATTACCAAATCTCGCAGAGTCGCGCACCACGTCGGCTATTAGATTCTCGAACAAAAGCTGATTATGTGGTTGTGCCATACATCCCAATACACACAGTGCCCACACCAAGCCAGTGAGAGAGTAAGCTCTTGGTCTATTCTGGAGCACAATAATGCTTCTAGAAACCGCGCTTTGAATCTCGGGTAGTGCGGGAAGTGGTCCGGAAACAGTCGTGTGCAGTAGAACCAGACAAGCAAGGGCGAACACGAGTGTGACCCAGCCAGTTTGTGATTCGTGGTTTTCTTGTTTCTGGCACCCAACGTTAATACATGTCGAGATGTGGTAGTTAGTGGTTGATACTTACATCTCTGGTTAGATCAAGCTTCTCAATGCCCCTGGTCAAACGGTCTTTGATCTCTGCTCCTTTCCTGGCTAGTTCACTAATGCTGAGTATACCCTCTTTTTCTTGCACTTCCTTCCATTCACCAAAGCAGGCTAGATCTCCGATGATGATCATAACCCAGTTTTCGCAACTCAATAGATCTGCGATTTGTATCTCAGGGGTACAGAGCCATTGCTGATATGGAAGTTGTGGTATACGTCCTGTCGAGAGACAGGCGAAAAGATCAAGTGAAACCATTGTAGCGAGAAGGAACTCAAGGCCCCGCCGTGGAGGATCTTGAGATGAAATAGGAGACACTGTTTGAGAGGTGTAGCGAGCATCAAATATAGTGTTGGGAGATAGTGAGTGCATGACACATATGACAGCATCCAGATGCAGTAGCCAGTCGTGCTCAGCGCCTCTAAAAACCTGGATTCTTCAATTAGATGTAAGATAAGTCGAAAGATGATCTGGTCCCTACCTACCTCACAGCTAATCAAAATCAAACTACATGCCAGGAACTCGGCCAGCCGAGCATTATCATCCAGCAATTTTCCACGTTCCTCGCCCATGAATTTGCAGAACTCACGGAGTGCCCTGGAATGATGCTCTAGCGCCCTTTCCTTCTGTTGATATTCCTCCTCACTCCCAAGAATTGCACTCTGGTGAAGCGATGAAAGGCTCAAGACGGCATGGTAGAGAGGTCCCCGCTTCATAAGAAGATATAAGAGCCACCCCCGATTTCCTAGCCGGGATGTAGAGCGGAAATAAGGAAATTGCCATGCGAAGACCTGATCGAAGTAATGCATTAATAAGGACGCGGCTTGGGGATCGAAAATGCCATCTTGGCTAGAAGGCCGATCTAGAATTTCCAATGAAGCACTTGACAAAACATTCGAGTCATCTTCTGTATCACAAGCAGGCGAAGCATTAACATCCGAATTTGAGGAAGGTTGCGGTTCTTTATCTGCTTGAGGCAGCGAGGCTATCTTGGTGCGATTCTGCATTTTTCGAACTCGCCGGACATGTTGGTTGATCGCGGCTTTAATCCGGGCTCTTTCTTTCTTTTCCTCTGATGCTCCATCCATCCATGTTGGTTTTGGTCCATACCCATGACAATGGACATTTCGGTCACTGCATTCCCTGCAGAACGGTATTGTTATGTCGCATTTTTTGTGCCGTATACGACAAGTCCAACAACCAATCGATATAGCGCTCATTTGGACAAGTAGTTATCGTAGAGGGTTCTCGTGTGGATTGGAAGAGATCAGTGAAATATCCGAGGGTGATTAGCGCCCCTCCTGACTGTGGGCCTCATGTCAGCCAAGTTATCCGTTGACTCGGGCCGCGGAGATTGTTTCATTTTGAACCATGAGGTACGAACCATAGCTAGGTAGGATGGTTGAATTTACTGTCTAGATTTTTGGAAGGTTCCCGACTCTAATGTCAAGGTGATGCTTTATCTGAGGGGCTTCACGGTCTACATCGGAAACGAATATAAGAACGAGGCTGTAGGTGTTTACAAGATTATAGGAAATAGCTTAGATATGGCCTCAATGCGAAACTCCCACTGTGAAATACACCGATGCGAAACATCAGAAGATAATATTGCTTTATGAATTTGGCGTTCTAGCAGCCTCAAACTCACAGGTGGTAGCTGCGAGTATGGAATTGACTCCCGATTTCCGCATACCCCATTACCGAATAACTTCACCTAAGAAGCGTTTGTAATAAGATATACATGTTACTATCTATGAAGATAAAATCATCTCGATCTTTTGATATACATAGGCTGGGATAGGGCAGGTCGAGCCGGGACCTACACTGAGGGCAGGTCGAGCCGACTCAATATGCCAAGAGCGCCGGCCCGGAGAGGGGACTATAGTCGAACCATACTGATAGTCGTTGGATATTAGCTATATAATATGTCTGCTCGAAATATTCAATATAACCTATACTGTATACCTTCTGGGCATATGATTATTATTTGCTTTGGGATATTTCTTGCTTCTTCAGTATTGTTAAACAAGCCCGCATAACTCGGAATCTCAAAAATATGGATAAAGACACCATCTTCTTTAATGGTCGTATCCTCACCCAAGCTGGCTCTGGTATGCATGGAGAGCCAGTGTTTGCAGACAGCATGCTAGTGAAGAATGGAATCATCGCAGCAATTGGACCATTCCAGCAAGTCCTCTCTGAATGTTCATTCGATGTGCAAAAGCGAGACCTCGACCAGCAGACCGTTCTTCCGAGCTTTATCGATGGCCACATGCACCTTCTCCTTCTTGGCCAATCGCTACGCAAACTCGACCTCCGAATCTGCAAGTCTCTGGAGGACATTCGTTCCACCATAAAACAGTACGCGGCCGCAAACCCCAGTATCCCGACTATTCTTTGCAAAAACTGGATGCATTCCATGACACCAAATGGTGTGACCGCTACGATGTTGGACGAAATTGATCCGAGACCCATCTTCATCGATGCAAGCTCGCAGCACTCATGCTGGATGAACACCGCCGCCCTGAAGGTTCTCGGTGCTGAAACTATGTCCGATCCGCCTGGGGGTAGCATACATCGGGATGCCGAGGGAAAGCCTTCAGGTGTCATGGATGAAGGAGCTATGATGTCAGTTATCTGGCCATTCCAAGCAGTGTCATCATCCAAAGAAGAGCGCATGCAGTCGATCCTTCAGGCAATTCACGAATATAACGCGGCAGGATATACCGGTGTTATAGAGATGGCCATGGATGAAGAAGCATGGGATAGCCTTGTTACTCTCCGCTCAACGCAAACAGACCTCCCCATACGCATTGCCGCATACTGGCTCATCAAACCGACAGCAGACCATGAAGCCAATTCAAAACAAGTACAGCGTGCGATTGAAATGAGTGAACTGTACAATTCCAACACCAGCCCCGATCTTCGGATCGTCGGTATTAAGGTTATCTGTGATGGAATTATCGACGCGTGCACTGCTTTCTTGTCCGAGCCATATGCGCCCATTGGTTCGCCTCCACCCATCTGGGAACCAGAGCATTTGGTTCCCGTTGTCAAAGAGGCGGACAGTGCAGGCCTCCAAATTGCCCTCCATGCAATCGGGGATGGAGCAATCAAAATGGCTATTGATGCAATTGAGAAGCACGCTACTCCAGGGAGACGCCACCGCATAGAACATATTGAACTTGCATCTCCCGAGGATGCGAAGAGGCTAGGAGAGCTCGGTCTGACAGCCTCCATCCAGCCTGTGCATGCTGATCCCTCTGTTCTGACTGAGTGGCCACGTCTAATTGGGGAGGAACGTTGTGAGAGGGCGTTTGCATACCGTGAATTCGCAGATGCTGGGGCTCTTATGGCGATTGGGACTGATAGTCCTACCGCGCCTTGGGCGCCGATGAATAATCTTTACGTGGCTACCACGCGAAAGTCGTCTAGAAACCTTGAATATACCAAGGTTGTTAATGAGAATTTCCGTCTGGGGATGTGTGAATCCATTGTTGCTGCAAGTGGTGGTGCAGCACGTAGTGTTTTTGCAGAAGAGCGGACAGGAAGCCTGGAAGTCGGGAAATTGGCGGATTTCATTATTGTTGATATGGAATGGGAGGCAAATGCATTGTTGCAGGCGAAGGTTAAAGAGACTTGGTTCGAGGGAAGGAGGGTCTGGGGTTAATTGGATATTTGGAACGACTTGTACATAGAAAAGACGTATAGGCCTCAGAATAGAATGACATGAAGTTGACGAAGGGGTCATGGACAGAATGACTATAGATAGAAGAAATAGTGCTGATTTCTTCACAAAGGTAGCTCCAAATATCTAGATGTTGCCCAACCTCCCTGGTAGCAACAACCAAAGATAGTTTAGAGTAGCCACAATGTATATATCTTGGTATATAAAAGCCAAGTAATAGTCCCGATGACCCAAATGACTAAACTGAGACAGCCAGATGCATACATCCAGTGTCTTTACGGAATTTTACGTGATCTTGGAGCTGATCTTCAAACTATTCGCAGTACGAAGAAAGCTTTCGGTATCACTGCCGCATGGCATCGACAACAGGCCATGGCGACAACAATAATGCAGCACAATATCTGTGTTGATGAATTACGGCAGACTGTAATATCTACTAGGGTGATGGACAGGAACGAGTAAAAATTTAAAGGTGTATCATTCCACAGCCCGAAGGACTTTTTGATTTCGTTTCTGCCCTGTAGAGGCCAACCCCGGACCTCTTTCCATCACCCTTTAGTTTGTTCGACAAGAAAAAGGATGGTGTCCACAACCTTAATTCGCTAAGGGCGCATGAGACGCTCATCCGCAGGCGCCTAAGTACATTTGTCTCATAGCAGAATTCCATTTTCAACCCGTCACAAGAATAACTCCAAGAAAAAGCACCCTTAATCCTTGGTCTTCTGGGTACCGCGGAGCAGACCAGTTCTGCGGGCGGCAATGAGACCAGCCTTTTGACCCTGGGTAGCGTAGCGGGAGATGGTCGAGGCCTTACCGATGTGCTGGTGGTTACCACCACCGTGGGGCTGTAGAGAGAGTTGTTAGGGATTGCGGTCCTGGATGTCATCGGGTCTGTATATAGACTGAAACTTACGTGATCGACGGGGTTCATGGCAACACCACGAGTCTTGGGCCAAGAGTTGCGCTTGACGGCGAACTTGTGCTTGGCACGACCGGCCTTGAGCAAAGGCTTGTCGGTACGGCCACCACCGGCAACGATACCAACCATACCGCGGGCGGTGTTCTTGATGACCTTCTTGGCACCGGAGGGGAGCTTGACACGGGTCTTGCCATCCTCGGGGTTGTGGCCAATAACGGTAACGTAGTTACCGGAGGTACGGCCAAGCGCACCACGGTCACCAGCCTTCTCCTCGACGTTGGTGATGACGGTACCCTCGGGCATAGAGGCGAGAGGAAGGACGTTGCCGACGGTCAGGGCAGCGTTCTTACCGGCGTAGATGAACTGGCCGGTGTACATGCCCTCGTTGGCGATGAAGGTCTCGGTGATCATCTTGAACTTGTAGGGGTGGCGGAACTGGACCTTGGCCAGGGGAGCACCACGGCCGGCATCGTGGATGATCTCCTTGACGACACCACGGGTGTAACCGTGAGCCTCAGCGAAATCGAGGGTCCGGAATTGGGCAGGGGCCTTGTTCAGGCGGGTGTTGGCCGCTGTAAAGTAGAGAAAAATTCGATATCAGCACTCCAATCTCCTTGCGAATCTGTGTGGTTTTTCCAATGATCTCCTTGGGTTTCCTCCTCGCTGCTCGGGGTGCGCAGCCTCGAAATTTCGTGTTGGAATGATTTGCGATCGCACTCACTGAAAATGGAGCCACGGCCCTTCCTCTGGTTGCGGATGACACGACCCATGGCGACTGTCTAGACGAGGATCCTGTGTTAGTATGGAAGCCGGGACAGAAGTGTCGTGGGAAAGTGGTAAGCGTACCTCGAAGTGAAATAGGCTTGTCGTTGACGAGTTGAGAAATCATCGGACACGGGGACTTGTGTGGGCTTTAGGGTGCGGTCGCTAATCTAACCCAATTGGGTATAGCGCATGGTCGCTTACTTGAATTGGCTTGAACTACAGCAACACAGGCATTTCCAGAATGGGCCTTTACTTCTTGATTTTATATGGTGTTTATAGATAATGATGGTTTTACTAAATTGAATGAAGTATTTGAAAATATTAACGACTCAAAAATATCCATACCATCTTAATTTTATGCCTGAAGAGCCTCTTTCAGTGCAAGCCCTGTAGATTTTGGGAGGGCAAGTTATGTCATCAATACACACGTGATGGCCAAGACCTGATATCGCCAAGACTTCTCGTTTTGGAGTGTTACTCTCTTCCGAAGACCTCGAAACAGCTGTGTCTGTATACTCCATGCTTTTGTCTATGGGTTTGATGTGATGAAACTGTCAATGAAAGGAGACCTAAACTGGCCTGGGCCATCGTTACCTCTCAAACATTACAGATGTCAATATTAAACGCGTCGACAGAGCTCATCGCGTACATCCAGTATGAAAGCAAGAGATATGTAAAGCCGTCTCAACCAGTCGCATCCATATCTCCCTAGGCTATTGCATCTCTTTAGCTAAATTCCTTTCTTGAAAATATCAAATAGAGCTTCATAAGTCCTCATCGGCTCTCTTGAGCTCTATCTCTATACAGAAATTTGCAAATTCCAAGCCGCTTTCATGCCAATATCTCATTTGTTTGAATCATGCTCTTCTAGAAAACTGCAAGAAGCCCCAGTAAAAAAAGTACGAACAAAGGGAGCAGTTGTGTCTGGAATACTTTAGATAAGTGCCCTTCGGGAGCAAGCTCGGTGCAGACGTGACGCTCAAATGCGCGCAACTTACTTCTTCCTTCACCACCTACCCCATCACCTCCACCATGCCTTCAGATTCAGAACTTTCATCGTTATCATCGGCACCTCCGACAGATGACGAAGCTACTATGGCGATTGACCACCCGACTGGTATCGCAAAGTACTTCAAGAAGGAATCTGAGACGCCGCCACCGAAGCGGGAACCGTCACCTCCGCATGAATACGTCCTGGCCGACAACCCCGATATTGCGGTAAGTTCACCTCGCAGGAACATTTTGTGCATTGCTTTATATACGGACATGTATACGACGCGTTTGGCCAACAATAGGACATCTTTGCTGAGTTATCGCAATCTTTAGTTCATCGTCGCGTTCCGCGCGCGTTTCCATGAAGTGTTCCCCAAAGGAGTGCCACACTACGGCCCGCAGGATATCGAGAAGGGGATTGAGGAGTCTCCCCCGGGGAATACATTGAAAGACTTCTATGCGCATTGCTTGGGCTTGTTCTAAATCGCAAGAAGGAAGTCGAGTATGGTCGCCACCCGTCGCCCGATACCATGCGGAGTGCTTGAAGACGCGCGCTTTCCACCCCCACGCTATCGGCTGTGAAGTTTAGCGCTAATATAATTTCTGAAATATGCAGACGAAACCACTTCACCCGTCCCCTCGAAGAAGCAATCCATACACACCAGTCGCAGTGGCCGAAAGAATGGGAAGGTAAAAACCCCCTTCATGGGGGTGGCAGTTTTGCAACCATGTCCCCCGTGGAACGTGTATGTTCTCAAGATCTTCCACGGCACCCGATTTGCGATTCTGACATGTGTCATCTTAGTTGCGTTTATTGAAGGCCTTAATACTGTGGTCACTTTCGTCGTCCGAAGCGGTCCAGGCGAAGATTAAGGAATCCTACAAACAGGCGCGTCACGATGATGATCTGAATCAACCATTGTCTGTCCAACCCTGGGGGCGGGATAGCTTGAAACGTCGTTATTGGCTTATCGAAGGGCACGATGATACAAATTTCCGTCTCTACCGCGAAAGTAACCCGGCCCTCAAGCACAACACTTGGTGGAGCATCGCGGGGAGTATTCCCGAGCTGGAGGCCGTCGTGGAGAAACTTGAGGGTGAAAAAGGCACAAACTCCAAGAAGCTTAGCGAGAGAATTCGCGCCTCGATCCCTCGATTTGAGGCGTCAGAGGAGGTGATTATCTACCTCGAGAGTATATCGGATTTCGCTAATAAATTCCCAGAAACGGAGACGCCGCGAATATCGTCTCGCACGAAAGGCTGCCTTCGTTCGCCCGGATCCTGGGTTCTCCATGTATGAAGGTCGTACACGCGGCAAGAAACTGAAATACACGTACTCGGAGGACGAAGGCATCTTTTCTGACGATGAACCCTCCGCCCGCCGTTCTACTAGAAATGCGGCTCCCACAGAAGCTTCCATGGAGTCTAGACGCCCTCGATTCACGGCAAGCGGGAGGCAGATTCGATCTCGCGCCGGTGGCCTCTATGGCGAGGCTCTCTTGACTGGTCAACGCGATGGAGTCGATGACGAAGAGTTCTATGAAGATGAGGAAGAAGAAGTGAGCAGACCGCAGAGGGCTCGGACTTCGACTCACCCTAACGGATACTCTGGCTACGACGCCGATGATTTGGAGGATGCATCTGAAGTCCATTCAAGCGCGAATGAAAGCGGCAACGAATGGCGAGGCGCTGAAGACGATTTGGAGAACGATTTTGAAGGTGACGACGAAGAGGAAGAAGCAAGCGCAGACGAGTCAACTGGCAATGAGGAGCCAGAAAGCCTTGTCGTGCAACTTCGATATGGCAAGGGAGATGCATCTAGCAATCCGGAGGTCGAGATTGGAAAATCACCACCTGCGGAAGACGTTGAAATGAAGGATGCGGGAGAAGCAGCAGCAGCTTCCTCCGCCAAACCATCACCGACGACCCTCCCCCTGCAGTCAGACTTGGGTGCGCAGCAGGGCCCGACCATGATTGCACCTTCACACCCTTCTGCTCCGATACCCGAAGTTCCGATCAATCCTGCAGCACCCGTACCTGCGCCACCTGTTTCTTCAAACGGCGTGAATCAAATTTGAACCGTTTGACTCTAAATTCGGATTCGCCTCAGCTTTGGCGCTTTCGCTTCAGCCAGGCTAGAAAGAGACGGGGAATGTACATTCTACGAAATGTTGCTAGATAGATCTTTTTGGATTGCAATTGTACTTCTATGAAGCCGTGGGTACTGGCACTAACGGAATATGAAGTAATGGAATGGAGGTACCAAAACATCGTCTTTCTCGTAAGCAACAAGTCCAATACACAATAGATAACACTACATACAACTGGCATGTACTCGAAATCTATACGGAGTTGTGCGAACTGACAACGCAAATGTATTCTGACGCGGCACCCCGTGAGGTCTGCCCGGTACGCCAGGTATATCGCTAGAAATAAGATAATCTACTACAAAGTAGAGTTGAGGGATATAAGAAATTCAAATGGGAATCAACAACAGCACGCGCTTCCAATAGCGCAAACGCCAAAAATGCAAGCAATACAGTGTACACAGAAGCCAGTCACCAGACCTCTGGATTAAACTACTAACAGGTCGCATCAAGTGCAGAGATGGCCTCAGTCAGAGCCTGCGTTGGAGAACTGGGCTGTGTAAAACTGCAAAAACTCCTCGAGCGTCAGCGTCTCCACTTCTGGTCGAGATCAGATGGGGAAATCAATGATTGGGGAAGCAGGTACTCACATCTTCAACCTGTGACGCCAGTTTAGGATCCCTGGCCGAGCCAATTTGGGGTAGATGCCAGTTGTTCACTTCGTACCACCATCTGCGAACACGACTGCCGAGGGTGTGCCCGCTGACTGAGGCATTGCGGTTCCAGAAGCGCCAACCCGAGAGCGCGAGTGTCCAGAGGGTTCCTTGGATCAGAGGGAGAAGTACCTAGAAGGGAAAAGATTGGTGTGTTAGTCAGGTACTGCCAAAGGTATTATTCTTGATACCCCAAGGGGATCAAATGAATCGCGGGCAAGCATACCTGATCCCTAGTAGTAATCCATGCCACTCGTCCCCAGGTGTCAGCATCCTTAATGCTGGCCAGATAGCTCTGCTCGAAGCGCAAATCTGGAAGAGGAGGAAGATTCTGTCGCCGATGAACCGGTCGAATTACTCGGCTTGGGTGAACAATGTCGGAGGCAATGCTGTTTGTTTCGGAGTCTGGGCCTACAACGGCAGGTTGTTTCTCTGAAGCTGCAGTGGCTGGGTTGATGTCATGAACTGGATCAGGATTTTGATTGATGCTCGCAGATTGGATAATCTGGGGGATATCCATAGCATGGTCGGCCATTTTGGTGGATTGTATATGATCAAAGAGTCTGGCGTGAATAGAAGTAGCACTTGAGCTCCCAAGGTTGTTCGGCTGTTACCGGTGGACCGGGGATTCGCAGTCCGCTCTTTTCTGCCAACCCCTCCATATCCTCCATATCCTCCCACTTCTCCCACCTTTTTTACTTCAATTCCATTCTCATTCTCATTAATCATATCACAATGGCTGCTCCTCAAGGTTACCCTCTTCTCTGTCTGGAGAACCCTCTCCTCGGTATGTGAAGTATCATCTGGACATGTTTATAAATTACTAACGTGCTTGCAATAGACATCCAGGCTCGTGGGTATGGATGAACCTGAAGTAAAATAATGTTAAGTTCTACATGCTGATAATATTCCTTAGTGATGCCGCTCTCCTGGAGAAGTATGGGCTGAAGGCCAATGATGCTATCCTCGCTGAGGACAAGCACATGGGTATCTACGAGGACCTGCTTGCCCGCGATGCCAAGCTGATCCCCGGTGGTGCCGCCCAGAACACCGCTCGTGGTGCTCAGGTATGCATTAAAATACTCAAGTGATCTGCAATATTGATATTAACAATACTATTAGTACTTGCTCCCTGAGCAGTCCGTTGTCTACATCGGCTGTATCGGTAAGGACAAGTTCGGTGATGTCCTCAAGAAGACTTGCGAGGAGGCCGGTGTCCACACTGAGTACCGTGTCGACGAGACCCAGCCCACTGGTAAGTGTGGTGTTGTCATCACTGGCCACGACCGCAGCATGTGCACCCACCTCGCTGCTGCCAACGAGTACAAGCTTGAGCACCTCAAGCAGCCCGAGGTCTGGTCTCTGGTCGAGAAGGCCCAGGTCTACTACGTCGGTGGTTACCACCTGACTGTCTGCGTGCCCGCCATCCTCGCCCTTGGTGAGGAGGCTGCCGCTAAGAACAAGGTATGTCATTTGCATTCTAATACATTGGACCTCTTTTCTAATTTCTTCGTTTTCATCAGACCTTCATGCTCTCTATCTCTGCTCCTTTCATTGCCCAGTTCTTCAAGGACCAGTTGGATAGCGTCCTGCCCTACACCGACTACACCTTCTGTAACGAGACTGAGGCTATTGCCTACGCCGAGGGCCACCAGTGGGGCACCGAGGATATCACCGAGATCGCCAAGAAGCTCGCTCAGCTCCCCAAGAAGAACACCCAACGTCCCCGTGTTGCCATTGTCACCCAGGGCACTCTCCCCACCATTGTCGCCATCGGCTCCGCTACCGGTGACGTCGAGGTGAAGGAGTTCAAGGTCCACGAGATCTCCAAGGACTCCATCAACGACACTAACGGTGCTGGGTGAGTGCTATTGATCTGAACAACTCCGCATTCATTTTTGCTAACCTCTGCCCTATATAGTGATGCCTTCGCCGGTGGTTTCTGTGCTGGTATCGTCTCCGGCAAGTCCCTCGATGACAGCATCGACATGGGCCAGTGGCTCGCCAGCAAGAGCATCCAAGAGCTTGGACCTTCGTGAGTTTTCCCGCAAGCAATACATTGCAGGAATACCAGCTAACAACTTTCAACCCGCAGTTACCCCTTCCCCAAGCAGACCTACTCTCGCTCTTAAGCGTTTCTAATGTAGGCTACGAAAAAAAAGCATAGACTACCAAAACACCTTCAACACATCTACCAACCTAATTTTGGAAGGTTTTGTGCGATAATCCAGTTCAACAACCGGATGAGCACCACTTGACTTTGGATGATTCAACCCTCTATACCCAATTTTTCCTTTTCTTAAAGCTTGATGACTTCAACGTACTGTCTGACCTCAAAAATCGAACAAAACCCATACTTTCTTGAGAATCTTGTCCTTTAGATTATTTATGGCTATTCTTGTTACGGCCACTTGATGAATGAGCTTATTCGGGCAATCTACCTTTCTATTGATTCACATGAAAGAGCCCATCTCGTAAACTACTATGAAAAGAAACAGTAAAATGAAAAGAAATTGAATTTCAACGTCCTAACCGGCACGACGGTGTCAAGAGGGTAACGGGCCCAAAGCAATCTACAAGGTCATACTCATTTTTGGATATCACCGAAGGTTCGTGCCACATAATTCTTCAAGGAAAGAAAAGACGACAAGGCTAAGGTTGATGGGGATAACGCGCGGTTCCA